ATCTGTAATCATAATGCACACTTAGGTTGTTTATCAGGTGGCGTCTCTTCGTGCTGAAATGTGTCTGTGGCGCTGCCGCTTCCTCCTGTCGCTTGGCCTCCCGTGCTGTTTTCTCCCTCCCTGCCTCATCTGGCTCTCCCTGCTCCTCGCGTTCTGTTTGTGGTTGGGATTGCAGCACTTTCGAAACGGCTTCGTAACTAAAAAGGTCAAGTTACCAAAGGATTGTTTGGGGGTTGGAATCTCACTCCGGCATTTCCCTGGGCACTCTTTGATGGATTTTCCAGTGCATCTTTATTATCTTTATTGATGACGTGGTGAGGTAAAGTGTCCCTCAGCAAGTTTGCGGGTGACACTAAGCTGAGTGTGACCCTTTTTTACAACGGTGCTGAGGTGCTGGCACAGGTTACCCAGAGCAGCTGTGCTTGCTGGTTTCAGCTGGGATGGAGGTAATTTCTTCTCAATAGCTGGTACAGTGCGGTGTTTGTATTCAGTGAAGTGAGACTAATGTTGATATAACACTGGTACTTTGGTTTCTGCAAAGTTGTGTCTATCATAAATTTAGGACATTTTCTTTCTTGTGTCTCATGCTCTGCCAGTGAGAAGGTACACAAAGAAACTGGGAGGGAGCATAGCCGGGACAGGTGACCTGAACTAGCCAAAGGGATATTCACACCACAGAATGTCCTGCCCAGTATATATAGGAGAAGGGGGGGTGATCCGGGGGGAACGGGCTTGCATGGGTCTGTGGAAGGTGAACAATTGAACTGTGTATCACTAATTTTGTTTAGTTGGTTTTTCTTTCCCTTTCTTTTTTATTGTCGATTAGTATTTATATCATTCTGTTCTCAGTTATTAAACTGTTCTTATTTCAATCTACGTGTTTTATTTTCTCCTCCCCATTCCTCCGGGTTGGGGGGAAGGTGGGAGGAGGGAGTGTGAGTGGCAGTGTGGCTCTTGGCTGCTGGCTGGGGCTAAACCATGGCAGCAGCCATGGTTGTTCCATCCCTGGGAGTGTTCCAGGCCAGGCTGGATGGGGCTTGGAGCAACCTGGGCTGGTGCAAAGTGTCCCTGCCCATGGCAAGGGGTGGAACTGGATGAGCTGTCTCCCACCCAAACCATTAATGCCTATAATTACCTTGCAGAGCCAGGTGGCTTAGCAGCCCCTAAGCCCCAGCCCGTGGCAGCGCTCGCTACAGCTCCTCCTGCACAGGAATCCCCACAGAAGTTCTTCCTGCGTATCAAGAGGTTATTGCAGCAGCAGCAGCACAAAGGTACTTAGGGTTGCTCTGGAAAACACTTCAAAGCCTTCCTTGAATCATAGAATCATGGAATCATTTAGGCTGGAAAAGCCCTCTGAGTCCATTGAGTCCAACCATCCCCCAGCACTGCCAAGGCCACCACTGATCATGTCTCCAGGTGCCACATTGACATGACTGTTAAATCCCCCCAGGGATGGTGACTCCAGCACTGCCCTGGGCAGCTGTGCCAGGGCTGGACAGCCCTTTTGGTAAAGGAATTTTCCCTGATGTCTAATCTTAAATCCCCCAGCCAAGGCCACCACTGATCATGTCTCCAGGTGCCACATTGACATGACTGTTAAATCCCCCCAGGGATGGTGACTCCAGCACTGCCCTGGGCAGCTGTGCCAGGGCTGGACAGCCCTTTTGGTAAAGGAATTTTCCCTGATGTCTAATCTTAAACCTGCCCTGGCACAGCCTGAGGTGTTCCCTCTTGTCCTGTCCTTTGTTCCCTGAGAGCGGAGCCTGACCCCACCTGACTGCATCTCCTGGCAGGGAGTTGCAGAGAGGGAGAATTTCCACTCTCAGAGGGGAAACTGATACCTGGCAGTGTCTTGGTGGTGTTCTGCTCCGAAACTGAATTTAGTTTCTCTGGAAATTCAAGGCCCAGTGCTGGTCCCTCCCAGCAGCATAGCTGCCAGGCCTGATCTGGAAGTCTGGAAAGATGGAAATTCTTGGTGATTTGGGTTTATTATTTTATGAATGTATTTTTTATTAGTTCTCAAATCACAGAATCATTAAGGTTGGAAAAGGCCTCCAAGATCAAGTCCAACCTGTGACTCATCACCACTTTGTCAGCTAGAGCAGAGCACGAAGTGTCAGGTCCAGTCGTTCCTTAGACACCTCCAGGGATGGTGTCTCCACCACCTCCCTGGGCAGCACATTCCAGTGCTTAAATATCACTAATTTCTTTATAATTTTTTTTTTTTTTCTTTTAAATCCAACCCCTTCAAACCCAATCAAGCACAACATTCCTCCTTCCACAACCACAGAGGAGCCTTCAGTCAAACCTGCCTGTGCTGAGCAGCCCAGGAATGAGCCTGCAGAGAACAGGGACAGTGATAAGGATGATGTGGATGTTTTCCTCGTGGAATCAATAGATGCTGATGATGAAGACTGTCAGAACACTAGTTCTGTGGATGTGAACTCTGTGCCTTTGACAAATGGGGGTCAGGTGAAAGGAAGGTTGGAAAATGGAGAAGCAAAACAGACAGAGCTTCATCAAGACAGAAGAGAGTTGCAGCCCAGTGGAAAACAAGCAGCTCCAGGAGTGGCAAAGACACTGAAGACAAATGCCCAAGAGCCCTCCAAGTGCTGCTGTAGGGTTATGTTATCTCCTCTCAAAGTCCACATCCAAAGGAAGCGGAAACTGGCAGAAGACCCGGAGGTCCCTTTGGATAAACCTCTGGCAGATCAACCCTCTGGCAAAGCAGTTGAAAAGGTGGGAGAAATTACTCTAGGGAAAAGCATGTGTTCCTCTGGGCTCTGTGTAGCTCAGAGTGGTGATTTCTCTGCAAAAGCAATGAGAATAAACTAGTGTTTTTTTAGATTTTCTAGCAAATTTTCCCATTAAAAGGATTTCTTGTTTTCTGCACTCCAAGGTGAGAAATGTTCAGGTTTGGAGTTTTTGGGGTTATTTTTGTGTAAAAGGAACTGTGTGCTGAAAGGCTTCCATGGTGTGATCAGGGGCCAGTCCTGCTCTTGGCTGCCTACTCAGATCCAAGGAGAGCTCTTCCAAGCTGTGTGCTGGGGATAAATCCACTCCTGACTCTACAGCTGTTGGGCAGAGAGAAGCCTTGGCTTCCCTACCCAACAT